GTAAGCTGTTGAGCCCCGTGACGTGTATCCCCAAGGCTTCAAACCAATCGAGTCCTATGAGACTCGTTCGTTCACCCCCTACTACTAATATGTCTAGTGGACCTTCAAAATTCTTATACTGTACGTTAAGGGTGGCCTCCCCCTTAACATACACTCTCAAATTTTGAAAGTCTGTTAACACAATGTCAGAAGGCCTTAATTTAGCCTGAGTTCCACTGCCGGAACAAATCTTCCTAAATGTATGTAAGGATATGATTGAAAGGGCAGACCCCGTGTCTAGTTCCATAGTTAATGGAACCCCTTGTAGCTTCACCTTGAGTGACAACTTTTTCTTGATGGGCTTGTGTGTGCCTGTCCTGAAGATGCTTCTTCGCGAAGCGCAAAAACCTACCCTATTCTGGCTGGGGACCCTGGTACCTTTCAGGTGCAGTTCTTCCTGAGGTTGTACCTTTCGTCGGCCCAGACACACAGCTGCAATATGTCCTTGTTTCCCGCACACCCGGCAGATAGCAGAGCGGAACTTGCAGTCGGTTCTCCTGTGGCGACCTCCACAGCCGATGCACTTAAGGGGAACTGCAGAGCTTCCTTTCTGATTCCCTTCCTTCGAGGGGTGGAGACGGTCGACTTCCTCGTCCGGATCCTCCTCGGAGTTCCCTTGGACGTCCTCTTGGTGCACGGATGCAACATCTGGACTGTTCCTGATCGGCCACATGTTTTTGACGGCGCCGCCTGCTGCTTCTTCTGCGGTGACCTCTCTTAAGGCATCTTGGAAGGACAAGTCTTCTTTGGCAAAAAGCCTCTGTTGTAGATCTCGATGCCTTAAACCGCACACGAATCGGTCCCTCAGGGTCCTTGAATCGGTCCCTACTTCGAGGTCCTTGAACTCGCAGTGCTTGGCGGCCTTCCTCAATGCGGCGATGTATTCCTTGGCCAACTCCCCGAATCGTTGATCCCTCTGCTCGAAGGTGTGGCGCCATGCGATGACGGACATCTTGGGCTGGAAGTGCTCCTTCAATAGCTTTTTTAGATCTGCGTAGCTGACAGACTCTAATGGGACAGGTGCTGCAAGGTTCTCTGCAATTTCGAAGGCGTCTTGACCGCAGACACAAAGCAGGGTGGCAGCTTTCAAGCTATCTTCCCTCACTTGGTTTACCTTGAGGTAATTTTCCACCCTGGCTACGTAGGACTCCCACCGCTCTGGATGTGAGACGTCGAATTCCGAAAGCCTTCCGACTTTTGCCATTTTCAGGAGACGGGTCTATCAGCCAGCCTACCCCCGAATGCGCACTGGATTGGTAGCTGCCGAGTCAACGGCGTTGACTCAGGTAGCTGCCGAGTCAACGCCGTTCCGCCGCTCAGGACTCACTTGGGTAAGCTTACACCTCTTCCTTTCCAGTCGATGTAAGGCATCCCACCTTCGTCGCCAGTGTTGAGTCCTTGGCGAAAAGCAGACGCGAGAAGCAGTTGTAGTTCTCAGGTTTTCTTTTATTCTGTGTTCAGCTTACAGGTGAAGGCTTCAGCAACGCCCAAAAGCTCCCAGCCTCTTATATAGGCAGTTCCCGGGTCAATGTGTTACTTTTCCCGCGCCAGCACCCGCGCATGCGCACAGGCGCTGGTGACAGCCTGTCTGGTCCCGGGCAGCTTTGCACCTGCCCGGGACTGCCTGCAAACGCCCCGAGCCCGTTTGCAAGGGGCATAACAACACACACTTTGGAATTTTGAAAGTCTGTTAGCACTATGTTAGAAGGCCTAAGCTTGGCCTGGAATCCACTACCAGAACAAATCTTTCTGAATGTATGAATGGAAATGATTGAAAGTGCAGACCCAGTGTCTAGTTCCATGACCAATGGAATTCCTTGCAACTTCACTTTAAGTGACAGTTTCTTCTTGATAGGCTTGTGTGTGCCTGTCCTATAAATGCTTCTTCATGAAGCACAGAAACCACCCTGTTTTGGCTGGGGGGACCCTGGTACCTTTCAGGCGCAATTCTTTTCAGGATTGTACCTTCTGACGGCCCAGGCACACAGCTGCAATGTGGCCTTGCTTCCCACATGCTCTACAGATTGCAGAACGAAACCTGCAGTCGGTCCTCTTGTGGCAACCTCCACACCCGAAGCACTTGGGAACAGCTGAAGACCTTTCTTTGCCTTCCTTCTGCTTCCCTTCTTTGGTTGGGTAGAGATGATCTACTTCTTCATCAGGGTCCTCTTCCGAGCTCCCTTGGACTCCCTCATGGTGCACGGAAACAGCTTCTGGAGTACTTCTGATAGGCCTCATATTCTTGATTGCCCCACCTGCTGCCTCTTCTGCAGTAACCTCTCTCAAGGAATCTTGGAACGATAAGTCTTCTTTAGCAAAAAGTCTCTGCTGCAAGTCTCTGGTTCTCAGCCCACATACAAATCTGTCTCTCAGTCTTTCTTCTAAGTCTTTAAACTCACAAGGCTTAGCTGATCTTCTCAATGAAGCAATGTACTCTTTAGCTGATTCACCAGCCCGTTGATCCCTCTGTTCAAAAGTATGTCTCCATGCAATAACAGACAACTTGGGCTGAAAGTGTTCTTTTAGTAATTTCTTTAAATCTGTGTAGGTAACAGATTCAAAGGTGCAGGTGCTACTAAATTTTCAGCAATTTCAAATGCATCTTGACCACAAACACACAGCAGGGTGGCGGCCTTTAAGCCATCTTCTCTCACTTGATTTACTCTGAAATAATTTTCTGCTCTGGCCACATAAGACTCCCATCTCTCTGGATGTGTAACATCAAACTCAGAAAGCTTTCCTATCTTTGCCATTTTTACAGTAGTGCAGGAAGGGTCTATCAGCCAGCTTACCTCCAACAATGCTGTATTGGCAGGCAGTTGCTGAGTTTAACGCCGTTTCCTCGCTGTTCAGGACTCCAGGGTAAGCTTACAATTTCTTTGATTAATTGTAAGGCAGCCCACCTTCGTCGCCAGTGTTGAGTCCTCGGTTAATGGCAATAACTTCACGAAGCATCTCGTAGTTTCAGGAGCCTCTTTATTTGTTGTTCTGTAGCCCCGTTACAACTCAGAGGCATGCAAGCCTCTCTGACTCTCTTAAAGACAATCCCTGGGCCAAATGGCAACATTTAGGCACGCGGCGCGCCTCACGCATGTGCGCAAGCGCCGGTGCCAGCCAGTCTGGTCCCGGGCAGCTTGCAACTGCTCGGGACCATTGCAACGTCCTGAGCCTGCCTTTGCAGGCTCAGGACACAACAGGTGCCTTACAGTGATTCTTAAAGAAGTAAGATTGGTCCTGCACAGTCGCAATACAGTCTTTGGAATTATGTGTTTGGATAAAGGAGGAATTTAGGAGGCAACAATGGATATAAGCAAGGGATCCAAAGTTGATTTGTCTCACCTGTTGAGAACATTGGTGCAAATCTTTGGCTAATCTGTTCATCTGAGCTGCCATTTGGTTTTAATACTGAAATAATATGGTCAACAGCCACTGTGCTCCTTCTGGGTACTTAAGCAATGGTTCTGTTCCTACAATGATAAGAGTAGTAAAAAAAAGCTGTCAGGCTCTCCCAATCAGAACCTGAAAATAAATCACAGATTTCAAGACACTTCTCAGCTTAGTTCAGCTCATCTGATAAATCTGACGGAAGTCCCACAGATATGGCTCCACTAGTTAAGAATTTTTGTTGCAGACAAGAATGGAGGTACAGTATAAAAGTTCACTGACCAAGTAACATCACGCCAGAATCCTGCCCTTCAATGACACCCAGAAGGGGGTAGGGTAAAGAAACTACAAGTTCTAGATACTTAAACACAGAGATAGGCTTCCATGAGTGGAACAAATGGGGTGGGGAAAATGGCAACAGTGTTATGATGTACATATGAGATTTGAATCTGACACTGAGACACAGATGCAAAAGTTAGTACTGTGATACTGAAATGCACATTTTGTCATATTTGCACCCACTGCAATCTGTATTGGAAGCCTACTGATGAAGTGCTGAAAAGCAGAATTCTCAGTGTTTCACATCTTTCCTTGCATAGCCTAAGCATATTATTGGTGCTATAAAAACAAGCCTTGAAGTAAAATTAACTTTTCATCAGATTCTGAATGGAGAATGAGAGAGGGACACTATTTTATACTTCACTTCAGACAGTAAAATAATTTGGACTTATATGAAGAAGAGACTCAATACAGCATTTCCCATAGATGGGGGAGAGCCCCAGCTAAGTCACCTTTGCCTCTCACTTGCAATTACTTTAAAACCAACATAAGTTATTTAGAGAATTTATTCAAAACCTGCCCGCTTTCTTCTGGTCTGATATCATTTCTGATTCAGCTAACTTGCTTCTGGGGACATCTGCAATCTATTTCGGAAATTTCTACTTTTTTCCATTTTGCATGAAATCACCACAATGATCAAATTAGCACAGTTGTGCTTACAGCCTAGCTCCAAAGATTAGGGTGACTTTCCTCTTGTGAGAACTAATAATCCAACCCTACCTTTAGACAGAGTGATGTGATGATCAATTGATTTTTTGGTGAATTAAAAGGACAATAATTTCTATAATTCTTACTATTTTCACTATGAGGCAGTTAAAACAGATGAAGTATTTTCACTCTCACATATCCAAAAATCTGGACCAGCCTTTGGTAGATTGCAGAACCATAATCCAACCCACTGGAGAACAGAAAATTGCATCCATTCCCCACAACAATACTGAAGATGAGGATTGTGGGAGCTGCAGTCCAATATGTTTAAAAGGCATCAGCTTGGAGACTGCTAGTATAAATCACATTGTTTTCATATTTCCACACCATCCTTGTGAAGTTAGGATGAGAAATGGAGACCAATGACCAATGATTAAAACCAGTGTCTCCCTTCTATTATGCATTGCAGTGTACTGACTCTGGGATTTGTAGGAAAGAGAAATCTTTGGAACTATGGATTATACCCAAAGCACTAATGAGATTATTTGACTTTGAATATGATGTGCTCCTCCCAATTGTTCTTTTGGCAGGTTTCCTTTTCATGGGTGATGTCATTCATCGAATGCTGACAGCTACACAGTATATTGCCCCTCTGATGGCAAACTTCAATCCTGGCTATTCACGCAACTCCACTGTCAAATACTTTGACAATGGTGAGCTCTTATTATATTTCCCTCCTCTGTAACCTTCCCAGGACTAGATCACCACTTCTATTCCACATCCTTGCAAGCTTGCCCACTGCTACTTATGCTGGACTGGACATTTATTTTGCAAAATGAAATTCAAACTCCGGAAAGTCTCAACTTCCCCCCCCCCCACACACACACACACCTTCCTTTTTCCCTCTTCCTCCTATATATGAAAGCTGGCAGAAATCTCTCCTTTGGATGTTTTTATTTTATTTTTCATACTTAGGATTTATTTATTGGGGAGTGATAATGGAGCATGGTTGGAATCAGGTTAATTAGCTGTTTTGTTCTTGGCTGATGATGACTAACTCTTAAAAGCCTTTTTATGATAATCTGTGCAGTTGTAGCAGGTACGTTTGATTTATACTTCAGGTTTTTTAGAAAGAGGCAAAAATATAGAATTAGGAATAGGTAATCAGGAGGTGGGGGGGCGATAAGTAAGGGTCAGTTATCTTTGTTAGTGCCTGGAATCTGAATTTATGTTCCTGTGACACAGTTGAGTGCCTGGAATGATTGTTACCGGGGCTACCACATAGTCTGTACTGGTGTGTTCATAAAGTATTTTCAGTTCAGTTTTCTTCCCATCTATTTTATATTTTGTTGATTAAGAGGGCCTGCAGAAACAGATTATTCAAATCTAAGGATTTTTTCAGTGGGAATTTTTTAGTGATTACTTGATGGCCTGTTGGTTTCTCATTATTAAAAACATTTTGTACATGCTTGGAAGCACATTTCAACAAGTAGGAAAACTATTTCCTTTTTTAGTAAAAATCCTTCTGGTACTTTCTATTCCTGCTCAAGTAGAAGGACAAGGAATGGGTTTTGGAAAGGCTCTTCCACTACATAGATTGGTCAGATGTATTCCTTCCTGGATTTTAAGTTCAAGTTCTTAGTTCCCATTCTGTACTTCATTTCTTTTATTCTTCTACTTCCAAAGGAACCATGTTTGTTGTCCAGTGGGATCAAGTTTATCTAGAAGGAAAAGAGGACAAAGGCTATTTCATCTTCCAGGCAGCTTTGTACAACAGTGGCAGAATTGTCTTTGGTTATAAGGAGGTGAGTGTACACAGTCTAGTGTAGAAAAAATTAGTTTCTCAAATGTTCATCAAGGTCCTGGCCATCAAGAATAATGAAACTTCAAGGATTGGCAGAAATGGACTGGCTTTCTGGAATTTCCTTGATACTAGTGACTGAGATTTCTATGCCTTCTCTTTTCCGACTCCAGATTCCCATGCCAGTGCTTGAAATTAGTTCTACACAACATCCTGTCAAAGCTGGTCTTTCAGATGCTTTTATGATCCTTAACTCTTCCCCTGGTAAGTCTGGCAGACAATGAGTGGAGGGGGGAAAGGAACCGGGTGACAGAAAGCAGAAATATGGTACATACACTAATTTGTTTTTGACTAAACCAGCTTTTCTAAGATGCAAAATTCTTGTTAAAAATATGAACATTTGGGGCTGTTCTCTGACCTACAAAGCAGAATGAGATAGCAGATAGAGAAATCATATACTTAACTATTGCCTTGATTAAAATGCCCTCTTAACAAAAAACAGTGCTGCTGTAGTTTTTACCTGATAGGATTACTTTCTTTTTCAATATGTTTGCTATCATAGAAAAATACTGATAAAGCATCAGTTGGTTTTATATGATATGCTAATTAATCATGGACTATGTTCATACAACACAAACAATAATTCTATGATTTGCAAACCAAAATGAATTGAGCATGTCAAGTGAACCAGACCATCACATTATGCCATAGCATGGTTTGTTTGTTCACCTTAGCATATAATGTGAACCTAGCCATCATAATTTGTTAATCATGGTTTAGAATTTAATATTTTATATATGATTTGCTTGCCTTTGGTTTAGGATGTTATGCAAGCCTAGCCACTATAATTTGTAAACCATGTTTAATACTACTCTTCAATGCCTTGGTAAGGCCACACTTGGAATACTGCATCCAGTTTTGGTCACCACGATGTAAAAAAGATGTTGAGACTCTAGAAAGAGTACAGAGAAGAGCAACAAAGATGATTAGGGGACTGGAGGCTAAAACATATAAGGAACGGTTGCTAGAATTGGGTATGTCTAGTTTAACGAAGAGAAGGACAAGGGGGGACATGATAGCAGTATTCCAATATCTCAGGGGCTGCCATAAAGAAGAGGGAATTAAGCTATTTTCCAAAGCACCTGAAGGCAGGACAAGAAGCAACGGGTGGAAACTAATCAAGGAGAGAAGCAACCTAGAACTAAGGAGAAACTTCCTGACAGTGAGAACAATTAATCAGTGGAACAGCCTGCCTCCAGAAGCAGTAAATGCTCCAACACTGGAAGTTTTTAAGAAGAGACTGGACAGCCATTTGTCCGAAATGGTGTAGGGTTTCCTGCCCGAGCAGGGGGTTGGACTAGATGACCTCCAAGGTCCCTTCCAACTTGACTATTATTATTATTATTAGTTATGGCTTATGTCACATTAATTTAATAGGCCTTAGAGTTGAAGCCCAACCTTCCCCATACTGATATCATTCAAACATATGAGTTCCATGTATCTGGAGAATATTAGATTGAAGAAGGAAATCACTTCCTCCATCCAGGAAAGACTTCCTTCCTGTACTTGAAGTATCTCAGAGCCACTCACCCTTATTAGTTCATTTCATTATTGAACCACTGTTACTCACTATTGCAATTTCTACCATGTAAAGCCCATTCAACCACTTACTTCCCACTCTGGGCAGAAAGGCTGCTTAAGGCAGTGCATATTAATTTCCAAGCTACGACATGATAAAGAAGAAAAACAAAATCTTTGATTACAACAAAAGGACCTCCCTCAGCTACAAGACCACTCAATTAACAAGTTTTGGTTAAAAGCTAATTTAAAGAACAGCCCATTTAAAAGGAATATAAATAGTGGCTACCAAACCTAAGAATAAACCAGAATTGCTGAAACTTTTAGGTTGCTGTTCATGAGCAACAATTGTTCCTGTATTCCTAATTTGTTAAGACATTGACATGTTAAATTCTGGGGATGGATGACAGAGAAAGTCGCTTGCTTCCTTGTTGGTTTCTAGTTGGTTTAGTTGCCTCAGTTGGCAGGGACAACTGGGCAGCACACAATGGACAAAGCACGGTTCTCAGCAATTCTTGTTTATAATTATATCCAAATACAGAGCTACAGATAAAGCCAGAGAAACTTTCCAAACAAGATAATTCCACAATGAAATAATTCTGCTACTGTTACCATTAATGACCAACAAATATTGAGTCTGACTTCAGAAGCAAATCTGTGAGATAGCTTAGCTTTTAGGAAATGTAAAGCTCTCTAGATATTTTTTATTTCCACAAAATGCTGTATAGATAGTCCTTGACTTATGACTATGACTGAGCCCAAAATTTATGTTGCTAACTGAGACAGTTGTTAAGTGAGTTTTGCCACATTTTATGACCTTTCTTGCCACAGTTGAATCACTGTAGTTGTTAAGTTGATAACATGGTTGTTAAGTGAATCTGGCTTTCCCATTGTCTTCACTTGTCAGAAGGTTGCAGAAGGTGATCACATGACCCTGGGACACTGCAGTGGTCATAAATATGTGTCAGTTGCCAAGCATATGAATTTTGATCACATGACCATGGGGATACTGAGTGATCATAAGTATGAAAAATGGTCATTAGTCACACTACTTTTCAGTGCCATTGTAACTCAAACAGTCACTAAATGAACTGTTGTTAAGTCAAGGACTGCTTATAGAGTGGGGTTAAAGGGTTATAGATACTGCAGTCTAAAAAAAATTGGAAGGTACTGTCCTATATCCAAGCACTGACTATTGTGTGAATGTGGCTCCTTTAGTCTTTAGAACTAGCAGGTAGCTCATTACATCTCTGAGCTCGGTCATTTGTCTGTTTGATATCAGCTATGTATATTCTCTTCTATTAGTTTCATCTTAATTTTTAATTATGCAAAAGTTGGTGGAAATGTGTGCTATGGCCATATCCTGTAAGAGACAGTGTGGAGTCCTGGCCTAATTTAATATTCCCCCCTAACTATTTTAGAATCTCAGCATCGGACCATATATGAATACCATAGAGTGGAACTGGATACTAGCAAGATCACTAGTGCATCAGCTGTGGAATTTTTGCCCCTACCCAGTAAGTTTTCACCTCAAATTGCATTGCCTTGCTTTCTCTAGTCTAGGCATTGTTCATTGCAAAGGCAGAAAATAATCATCTACAAGCTTAGGGAGGGTGGGTGGATGGGAGGGAAGGAGGGAGGGAGAGAGGGAGGAAAGAAGGAAGAGAAGGAAGGAAGGAAGGAAGGAAGGAAGGAAGGAAGGAAGGAAGGAAGGAAGGAAGGAAGGAAAAATTCAAAAATAAAAGAGGAACATTGTGGAGAAGATATCACAATGTTCCCCTGTAGTTATTAACACATTAGGTAAAATAACAAACATATTAAACATTTTTTTACAAGGACATATATTTTGGCTATGACAGCTCTGGATTTTACACCCCTCAAAAAATCTTGCTGGGTACATGTTATGTCTTACAACATTACTTGCATATTTCTTACATACCAGGCTAGAACTCAAATTTCCCCTCAAACACTTTTCTAATATATGCTTATGTTTGGTTTTTTTTCGTAATCTTTGACAAATGTAAACATAATGATGTTATTTGCATGGAAGCTGAGCCCTATTTTTACAGAAGCCTATGGACTTTTCAGGTAAATAAAATTTTCCATGAACAATAGCTCTAGCTCTTCCCACTTGCTGATGGTATCATTGAATGATTTGCTATCTGAAAAGATGCTACATGTCAGCTTTCAGCAAGGTTCAAAGAGAAAAATTTAAAACTGGAATGCAAACTGAACAGTTAACTGGTATCTTTTTGCCTCTGGTTAAAAAAAGAAATGAGGAAGCAATTTCTCCCTGCCCTTTCTTTGCTGAATCAGGCAGCCTTTGATTGGTGGAGGTTTTTTTTTTTTTAAGAGCTGTAGAGAAGGGTAATTTTTAGAATCTGGATCAAATGATAGGTCTTTGGCTAGCAGTATGAGCATTATTTCTTTTGCATTTCAATGTTGCGAGCCTTCTTCCCCAAGCCTGGGGGTTTTCCTGCTCCTTTGATTGGGTGCTCTTCTGGGCACTTGTTTCAGAGCCTGAGCTGAGAGCACTCAGAGCTGAGAAAGAGCCTCTTCAACATCTCATACATGTTCTCTTGTTTGGCGAAAAAGGTAGAAGAGATTGGTAGACATTATAACAGACTAAAATAAAATCCAGGACCCATGCATAAGTGAAAAGAAATGGATGGTCAACAAGCAATATGAAATCATCATTAAAGTATTTTCTCTATAAAAAAAGAGAAGATTATTAAAATTGCTGCCAAATGCAGGCTCTTGACTGCAATTTTCTTTTAATGTTATTATTATAAAATAAAAAGTAGCATTTTGAATCCTAAACAGATAACATCAAATATTTTTACTGAACTAATTCAGTACATATTTGAGGTTAAAAATATATCGTCAGGCTAGGTCAGTGGTGGCGAACCTATGGCACGGGTGCCAGAGGCGGCACTCAGAGCCCTCTCTGTGGGCACACGTGCTGTCGCCCCAGTCCTAGGCCTTCAGCTGGGTTTTATAAAACCTTTTCGCTTTAGGCCTCTGCTGCCGTGTGCAAAAAAAAAAAAAAAAATTCAGTCAATTTCAACTTCTCGCGGGAAAAAAAAAGATCTTGCAAAGTTGGAATTGATTGATTGATTTTTAGTCCCACCCAGTCTGCCGTTACCACTGCAGCCATGCCCACCCAATGGGCCACGCCCACCCGGTACTCAACGATGCATAAGTGGGTTTTGGGTTGCAGTTTGGGCACTCAGTGTCTAAAAGGTTTGCCATCACTGGGCTAGATTAAGTTGCCATTATCAGCTAAACATTAGGCTTCTTCCATATCACTCCTTAACCCTAACCAATCCTGTGCAGGGCTGAATCCAGCAACTATTCTGAGTGTCTTACCCCTGCTTTAATGATCTGTCCCATGTTAGCCAGTGAAGGGCACCCAAAGCTAGAAAAAACAGGCACTCTATCTCCATCTTTGCTTTCTGTTTCCCCATATTTTTTGTAAGAAGGCAAGACAATTTTTAGAAGGCAAGCCATTGTTAAAGGTATAGCAACACCTTTACAGCAGGGGAAAATAGGAGAAAGGAGAAGGAAATAACAAAAATAGAAAGCCGAATGTTTCCAAAGGAAACATTTATTTATTTATTTATCAAAGTTATAGAATAATCTAATTATCTTAGAGTCCTATAAACCAAGTGTTTGGCAATTGTGTGGACTTCAGTTCCCAGAATTCCACAGAGAATTCCACAGCATGGGAATTAAAATCCATCTTAAAGTTGGGGAATTCTGGCAGTTAAAATCCATCTTAAAGTTGAAATACATCTTAAAGTTGCCAAAATTGAAAAGTACTGACATAAACTAAAGCAATTAATTAAAGTTAAGAAAAGTGACTTTTCAACATATATGGAAGCCCTAGATGCCTAGAACAATTTGAGGATGCATAAGAGTAGTTTAGATCTCAGATTAGAGCATTCCTTGATACCTATATCAAGGTTTTTTTGGATGTGAAATCAGTTAGTGGCTATCAAATCTTTGGTGGAAATTACCCTGACTGCTAATAGTGTAATGATTCCTTCATTAGTATTAAAAGTGAACTAGTTGGACTCTGTAAAGGATTATTTAGCCTACTCAAGTTTTACCACATTTAGTAATGAAGCCATCACTGTCAGAAGAACTTCAGGGGTAGTTAGACCAGAACAGGAAAAAGGACATCATATTTATTATGAATTCAACGCAAGTGATTCCAAGTTCTTGCAAATTCTTTTATACTGTGTCAAGAATATAAAAAGTAGGACTTAATTTAAAACAAAAAGATTTACTTTTATAGAAAACAATGCAGCCTTCCCAATTTCTCTGGAATTCTGGGGTTCATGCTGGGACAAGCACTAGCAGGAGGCGAGCCATTTTTGGAGAAAAAAAAATATTACAGAATAACTTGTATATTTCTAAACTCCTCACACATTCCTAAGGAATTTTCAGCAACAGCATATTATCAACTGACAGGGTCAGAATATAGTCCACTGTGTGATTTTCTGCTTCAAAAGCAACTGATGCAACAAAGAACAGAAAAATAACCTGACCTATTATTTTAAATGAATACTATGATGATGAGAGCATACTGAGCTGGAATATAATGACCCTGAGCTAGTTTCATCTTGAGGACATGAAGTAACAGAGTTCTATAGTCTCAGTCTGCCTTCCTCAACTTGAGGGAGAACAAGAAGAGAAAGAATACCTTTCAAGCCAACTTTAGAAAGAAAAGATTGGAACACTCTTTATTCATTACGTCTTTTTGCTTGTAGCGTGTCTCCAGCTTCACAACTGTGAGGCCTGTATGACATCTGGCCTAAATTTCAATTGTAGTTGGTGCCATGTTCTGCAGAGGTAAGTCTTCTAAACCCAAGGGGGAATCTACATTCACTTCTCAAAGAAGTTAATATTGTCTGGCTCTTGGTCTAGAAATTTAACTTGTAGAATTTCTGTAGTCTACCCCAGCCACATGTAGATGGGTAACTTTTGATATCTAGACTTAATAGTCTTAAGTCTCCACATACCACTCAAGTTTTTTGATGGTATGAGTCCTCTTCCTCCAAAATATAAAAAAACTGTTTCACTGTATATAGAAGTCTATGCTGATAATTTACAAAAATAGAGGACCAAAGAAGACAGAGAATGTCTTGAAATATATAAAGTTAATAAAATATTGAAGTTTAGTTCAAGAATGGAATACCTGAATTGGTGAGCCGTGGTCCCATCTGCCTTTTTTGTATCTGTTCCAGTTGCATTATAGAATTTCTTTTCTCAGCCTTTTAGGGAAGAAAAAAAATACCTATAAAATACTCTATGGCTAACATATTTCCAAGAATATCCTCTCCAAGGCCTAATGTGTTGACATCACTCTATCTTTTTTGCATAATCACTAATTTTCTGTCTTTCCCTCCCTTCTCATGTACCCTCAGTTATCTAAAACTTATCACTTATTATTAAATTAGAAATACAAGATAAATGGAGAATAAATCCCTAGGTTTTCATTCAGTCTGCTATCTAGGCAAGACTGGCCCTTGATTCTCTTTCATGTATGAGACACTGTGGTGATGCAATTTTTCTGAAACTCAGTTGCTATTTATCGGGCACATGCAACAATAAAAAAAATGATTGATTCTGTATATGCTGTGTTTAAAATGTACACAACGTCCACAGCAAAATAAAATCTTGCAGCTAAAATAGAAGTAGGAAATGTTGCAAAGAACAAACTGCATATGTGGGCTTGGATGCTGTCCATTCCTTCACATTTGAGGTTACTTTCAAAATATTACAATCATTTCTTGTCCAGAAATCCCTTCTCCACTGAAGAGCTAAGCAATTAAATCTTTGCTGTAGCTTGCCTATATGTACAACTTGCTTTCTTTAGCCCTCTTCATTATGCTGCTTTTTCAGCTCCAATCACTCACAGACACGACTTATCCTCACATCTATCCATGGAAGAAATCATTCATATTTGGAAGTTAACATATATTTGAAATATATTTTCTTGGCAGATATTAGACCTCCCCAAAACTCTACAGCAGCAGAAAAAGCCAGGAGAGGTAGGGGTTTATGGGAAGGCCTATGGTACATTGAGGGAAAATAACAGCAAAATTACTGGCTGGTGAATGTGTCATGTGAATCAACAGTGACATAGATGTCGTAAAGTTGGGGAGAAATACTTGTACAGTGAAATGATTGACTTCAAAGCTCCTATTCTCTCTTTATGGTCCACAAAGCAGAATTGTTCTAGATGTGCTTTGGAAGAAGAGCTGCATTTTGAGAGTCTCTTTCTTTCTGTGGAGTGAGGCCCTCAATATCTGTCCTTCAGTTCTATTTTATTTTTTATTTGGAAAAATTTATATTGTCACCTGCTCGCTCACAGCAACTCAAAGCGACTTACAGGAAATAAAAACACAATATAAACGAAATAAAAATAAAAAATAAAAATAATAAAATAATAAGCCCGACCCCCACCCACCCACCCTCGGGTGACAACACACACTCATACCAGCTATTTAATGGGCTCTATCCTGCTCTGGGTTCCCCAGGCCTACTGTCAGAACTAGGTCTTCAGAGTAGGGACCAATTGAATTTCCGGAAAGATGATAATAAATATAATATAAATATAATAAAAACACTAATGCATTTGTGCAACAAATCAAACATGTAGTCATTTTTTTCTGGTAGTAAATGCAGTATCTTTCTAAAATACGTTTAGGGTTGCAGGCAAATAGAGTATTTTCCAGCAACATTTTAGCTAGCTTAGTCAGGTGCCCTGTTCATATGGTCCCGAGTAGTATACCTGATAAAGTAGATACACTTTTGTAATGCACTCTGAGAAATGAGGAATTAATGTGCTCCATGACTAACTAAAACGAGAGATCCATACATTTGATTTATACCCATATGATACATATCCAAGCATTAACTTTAATTTGAATTCCCAAAAAAATTCAAGAAAATTCCAGAAAAAAAGTATACTTTCTTTGATGCATTCAGAAATGCAGATGGAAATCCTGAACCCTCCCAATATCCACATCTGCTACAGGATACTCCCCAACATGTTCAACAGGCTGCCTAAAATTGTGGAGCTGCAAGGTAACAACCTGAATCATGATTGCTCTGCAAGCATCAGAAATGAGGTTCTTTTCTTCCTGGACATCTTTGTATCAGGAACAATCCACATGTGAACATATATGGCTCATGACTTTTGGAGTGTGTTGGGAGAGACTGATTTTCTGCTACATCTTCTCCCCAGAATGCAGCAAATCACACTTAATCTAATGAATATGCAGGAGAAATAGGCTGGATTTGGGCTTCATTGGGAATCACGACCCCATTGGTGGTAGGGGGGGGCAAGGTTCTTCAAGGGAATCAAGATATGCTGTTATCAGTACAGACACAAGACTCCAAAGTAGCTAAGGGGATGTTTACATGCTTTGAACCCAGCGGCACTGGAATGGAATCCCTAGTTCCTTAAAGCAAACCCTTTTTGTCTGATTGTTATATTTATTTGGTGTCCATGTGTCTGGTGTACTTAACTCAGCTGGGAATTCTGATGATAAAACCATACTTAAGAAAATCACTTGGCTCTCCTGCCTATATTGGACCAGATGATCCTAGGGCTTTCCTCTGTTAGCACACTATGCAGAAGATGGAGACTTGAAATTTTTACTGTGGTGCCAATATTTTTATTATGAAGGCAGGATAGCTGTAGTTTGGTATAAGACATGCCAGCAAAACTTTTAGGCAAAAAAACTTACAGCCTCTTCAGGAAGTTATAATTTTAGGCCTGAAGACTTTGGACACACACACACACACACACACACAGAGAGAGAGAGAGAGAGAGAGAGAGAGAGAGAGAGAGAGAGAGAGAGAGAGAGAGAGAGAGAGAGAGAGAGAGAGAGTAATTCAAATTAAATGGCTGCAGTTTTTCATAAAATAACTTCATGAAGACTTGATTCTGGCACTTTGATGTAGACTTCTTCAAGTTAAGTCCCTCATGTCTGGATCTTTCAAAAGTCTCCTGCTTACATAACTGAAAATATTACAAATCTTAGTCTACGCAGTAGTGGTATAATTCCTCATGAGAAATAGAGTGCTCTTATATGTTTTCTTCCTGCATTACACTTGCAGTTGTCTTCCATGTGTACATTTGTTGAGGCAGCCCTTATGCAGCAAAGTGGAAGCATGAAGAAAGTGCTACCTAGAGGTTTGGTTCACCTAGTAAGTTAAACTGGGATTCTCTGCATATAATATACTACATTCCCACAATACATTGAATAATAACTCCACTTTAGCTTAGCTAAGCTTTAACTTACTTTAGCAACAGCCACAGAAGGAGACATAGAATATCTTATTATTTCCTAGATTTCTTATGAAAAACATTCCCATTAAAAACATCTAACAAGCATCACCATATCATTTTTGTTCTAGTGTCAGCTCTTATGCTTTTTTTTCCATAGGTGCTCCAATGGGTTTGATCGATACCATGAAGAGTGGCTGGAATATGGTTGCGGCCAAAAAGTAAATGGTTATAGATAATGAAGATGTAAAAGATAAAATATTCAGTTCTTGCTTAATGCTTACCAACAGGCAACTTTGCATTCGCACTGTTCCCTCTGTCCAGTCTTAACTGCAGATTGAAAATGATCCACATTCATCTTTATTTTTATCAAACCAGAAACGTTGAGAACAAGTATCAAAAATCACTTTCCTCACTCCCACTCCTCAATAAAGGGAAATAAAACAATCTGAAAAAAGGTTATTTGCATGAAATTTGTACCTCATCAAGAGAAGAGAGAAATTTGTCAATTTCATGTTTCATTATTTAGCTTCCTTTCTTGAGGGAGTGGGGCAAAACTATCACGTCAGTATTTCCCTTATAGGACCTAAAGTATATTGAAATTTAAAAGCTGAAAAACAGATAAAGCAAGAGTTCCCTTCAGTACAAATTCCTGCCCCAAAATAGCAGAACAATATTATTACTACCTGAATACCAGATTCAAAGAAGTTCCTGCAGCTGAACCAGTGTTCTAAAGATAGGTGGTGGCATGGAATCATCTGAGAACAATGTGAATTCCTAGACATGTAATAGCTAAGAGATTAGATCAATTATGGAAGCTCTGTGGACCAAGTGCTGTCTTTCAACCCAACCTTTTCTCAAATGACTGTGGGGAAAAACTTGGAAGAGTGAGTGCTATGTATGCCACCTTGAGTTTCTGGAGAAAAAGTGAGATGTCAATCTAACACACATATTTGCTGGGCCTGTGAAGATAAGAAGATGGAGTTTCTGCTGACTCTTGCAGATTATGCAAGAAAATTGTAGAGAGAAGTTTAAGGGATTCCCATGATATTTAAACTAGGAAAAGAAAAAAAAGAAAACTATTTGACTGCACAAATCCAGTGAAGTTTGAAGAGTGGAGCAAAATTGAAGATAGTGTAGAAGCAGAAGAAGATAATATGAAACTTTGAAGTAATAGGTAAATATATATATATATGGTATACCAAAAGTCAGCCCCATAAACAATTTATTATTATATACATTACATTTAAATATTTGAATTAATTGCCATTTTCTTCCAAACATCTTTTAATTTTTTTGATGCATGATTTTGAATATTCCTAAGTACAATAATATTTTCTGAAGGAAAATAATAATAATAAAGTGTACAGGTAGTCTCTGACTTACAATCATTTATTTACAATGGCACTGAAAAATGTCACTAATCAACATTTTTCACACTTATGACTGTTGCAGCATCCCCATGATCATGTTATCAAAATTTGGACGATTGGAAACTGATTCATATTTATGATTGTTGCAGTGTCCCAGGGTCATGAGATCACCTTTTGCGACCTTCTGACAAGCAAAGTCAAGGAGAAAACCAAATTCATTTAACAATTGTGTTACTTACTTAACCACTGCAGCGACTCACTTAACTGCAAGAAAGGTCATAAAATGGGACAAACAACTATCTCTCTTAGCAGCAGAAATGTTGGACTAAGCTGTGGTTGTGAGTCGAGGACTACCTGCATTGTGATTACTATATCGGGTCTGACTTTTGGTACACACTGTGTACACACTGTATAGCCCACTCAGCTAAAAATTTACTTGGGAGAATAAATGAAAGAATATTTATTTGGATCCATTTTACTTAATCAGCTCCAGATGTCCAGAGCATTTGACCATCTAAAGAAAAAGGTAGCATGCACATCTCTGGATTATATTTCTGGACAAAGATAAAAAAACAAGACAGTGTTAGAAAAGTGGCTATAATCTGTCAACCAATGACCAGTCATTTCTAGGAACTAAAGACCATGTGAAAGAACCAATTGAAAAGACATAAAATGCTGAGTCTACAGAGAAGTTAACATTGACATTACACAACTAAGAACAGATTGGGGGTGTGTGAATAATATATTCAGAGTAAAACAAATGATTAAAAACATTTTATATTGGGAATGAGGTAGGGAGGAAGAGTAAGCCTTTAGAATTGGATCACAAAGACTCCATATCTGTGTGTTTCCAGAATATTATAGATCAGCGTAAACATATGGGATCAGAAAATGAAGTTTACTGGTTTAAAATTAGTATTTAAACATATTTTACCTTGCTTAGCAAAGAGAAAAATTGATATACAGTTTCTGAAGATTGATAGTATTATAATCCTTAGATTTATAATTTAAAAGATATGACCCAACAAAGGAAAAAGACATTAGGAAGAGGAGGAGAAACTGTTGTGGTTCTCAAGCCAATAAGCTTAGAGTAATTGCTATTAGTGCTAGGAATGGCTTCAGGTGAAACTAAAAAAAATTCTTTTTTGCATTGTCATTTCAGTCAGAGGAGAAGACTTGTGCAGATTTTGAAGAGGATGAACACTATATGTCTTCAACTCCCAATCATAGCGCCTTTACACCACTTCCAGAAGACACCGTCACATCATCCTCCCAATTTATAGATAGCTTGACTACAGAAGGTAGGCACCATCTGGGGTTAAAACATGCCATGCCATATGATTCTTGTGTGTTTAGGCTGTCAGAGACTGATGTAATTACAAATTATACACTCAGCTCTCTTAATTTTTTTACAGACTGCTCAGCATCATTCCAGCCCATAAAAGAAAGCTACAAGTCATATATTAGCCTCTCCGAAATTGATTCAGGATTTGCCTGGGGTTTTTCCCTCCTCATATAGATATGAATTCTCACCTTCCAAAATTGTCTTACTTGCACCATATGCAAACACAATTTCTTCTATTTGGGAAAACCATCACCTAGGACAGTGATGGCGAACCTTTTAGAGACCGAGTGCCCAAACTGCAACCCAAAACCCACTTATGCATCGTCAGATGCCGGGTGGGTATGGCCCATTGGGTGGGCGTGGCTGCGGTGGTAATGTCACACTGGGTGGGACTAAAAAGTTCAATCAATCAATTCCAACTTTGCAAAATCTTTTTCTTCCCGCGAGAAGTAGAAATTGACTGATTGATTGAACCTTTTTTTTTTTTTGCACACGGCGGCGGCGGCCTAAAGCAAAAAGGTTTTATAAAACCCAGCTAAAGGCCTAGGACTGGGGCGACGGCGCGCATGCCATAGGTTCGCCACCACTGACCTAGAATATATAAATTTGGAAGAATTATAAAGTAAGCCTTCCTATGCAAGGAGGGGAAAAAACAATCAAGATGGCAGTCACAACCATGTGATCTAATTCCTGCTTCTTTTAATAAGCATCGATTCACATACAAAGGAGGTAGGGTTAGATTGCATGGTTGTAGTTGCTATCTTGATTTTTTTAATATGCACTTACCCCTGCAATGTCATTTAGGGTACTTGGCTGTGCAGTATTTCATCACAGATCCCAACTGTACTTTCCAATTTAGCTCAGTTTCCCCCATTTTCTAAAAGTGACATTCTATTCCTCAGGATTATGTGTGCAATGTGTCTAAATTAGCACCAAATTTTGTTCTCCTCTGAGATTAGTGACAGGTACTGATTAAATTGTGCTACTTAATAGTGTCTGCTTTGTTTGCTAATTAAAATAAACCAAAAAGAACATTAATATTTGTCCTTCAGCAATGAAGGAAAGAGAGGACAAATCCTTTCGAGACAGAATTGACTTAAAAAAAATTGAGGAAAAACTATACATTTCTTGGTTCATTTTTTTAAATGTAGCAGGGAAGAAAAAAAATGTTTAATGTATGTGTCCATACATGTTTTATATATAATGCATATCCATACACATACCTACTTACACAAAATCTATATTTTATCAGTAAAAAGGCTTATGTATGCATACTGTATGTATATGTATGTATGTGCAAATGTGTTCAGAAAGCTGTGCCAAGTCTTCATTCATAAAAGAAATAAACTGTGGAATTTGAAAGACCTCAATGATTCATTTGAAGCCAGAAATCAGGTTGGGGGCGTCATCATCATCATCATCATTGTTATTATTATTATTATTCCACAAATCTTGAATAAGAATTGAAATGAGATTACCACCAAAGCAACACTAAGCTTAGTTTGGTTCAACTCTATTTTGGTTCAACTGTTATGGGCAACTCCTTCTGCATTTATCTATTGTATAAAAAAAAAAAATACTCGGCTGCCATTTAACAGTAAGCAATGTATAAAAAACAAATTCATGCTTCTGTTTCCTTTCAAAAACAAATAGATAAATATACTGATTAGATGTAGTAGTTAAGGTGCTGGCCTTGAAACCAGGAGCCTGTGAACTCTAGTTTCTCCTTAGGCATGAAAGCTGGCTGGGTAACTTTGGCTAGTCACTCTCTCAAGGAGAGTAGGAATTATCAGCATGTTTACTGTTGTGTCCTGAGCCTGCTGAAGTATTCAGCAGGCTCAGAAATGTTGCAAATGGTCCCGGGCAGACCAAAAGCTGCCTGGGACCAGACTGGCTGTCGCCAGCCTTGCGTGCATGCACAAGGTGCAAAAACAGCCAGATTTCTATTGGCTGACACTGTCCGGGTTTTGGACACTATAAAAGGCCTGCGGGCCTTTTTGTTGTTGCTGGTTGTAAGAAGAGAACAATAAAAGAAGCTTGTTTGTTACACCATGCATTGCCTCTAACCTTCAAACACAACATTTACCATCTTGAATTATATATAAAAAGACAAAATAAAAATTAAAAAATAATGGGAAATGTCATAAAACACAACAGGAGTAATTGCAACCTATATGGGTCCCTTAAATGCTATGGAGCAACAAATAATTCCAGCTATTTTTCCAGCTGTTGGTGGGGAGGGTTGGCATGAAAAAGATAACTAAGAGGAAGAAGGTAGTATGTAAATTTCCTGTTCCTTTCAATAGTCTTGTTCAGAATTTCAAATGTCCTACAACAGGGTAACACCAATGGCCCGTCCATTCTTCCTGAAAATTTGGGGTTTGAGTCACACAGAGTCTCCTATTGTATCTTCCACTGTGCAGTATTTAAAGCATTGAGTAATTCAGTAGCAATTTAGTGACTTAGCTATACCACCTTAAAAGGAACACAAGCCTCTGCTAATTAAGCAGACACTTAATTTAAATAATAATGCTTTTGGATTTTCTTCTGGAAGGATTGTTAGCAGACTGCATACAGGGATCTAAAATGTCAAGACAAGTTTGTTATGTTAGTTCATTTTTACTTTTTTATTTTTGTTTTGTTCTTATAGATGACACAAAGTTGAACCAGAACCCAGGAGAAGGTAAGTGCTTTCTTTTGACCAAAGTTTGTGAAAATATATCTCCCTAGGACAGATTTTTGAATCTGAAACTCTCCAGACAGATTATTTAGAGCTACCAAGATCTCCAGCCAAAATTGTTATTGGAGACATAGTCCAACACATCTGGAGATTACCTAGGAGTTTGACATAACACACACTGCTCTCAAATACTGCAACCATTTTTTTGTAACCATACTACAAAAAAGATGTTGAGACTTTGGAAAACATTCAGAGAAGAGCAACTAAGATGATCAAAAGCCTGGAGACTAAAATATATGAAGAATGGCTGCAGGAATTGGGTTTGGTTAGTCTAAAGAAAAGAAGAAATTGGAGTGACATGATAGCAGTATTCCCGTATTTGAGTGGCTGCCAGAAAGAAGAGAGGGTCAAATTATTCTTCAAAGCACCAGAAGGCATGACAACAAACAATGGTTGGAAACTGATCAAAGAGAAGCAACTTGGAATTACGGAGAAACTTCCCAACAGTGAGAACAATTAACCAGTGGAACAGCTTGCCTCCAGAAATCATGGGTGCTCCAACACTGGAGATTTTTAAGAAGAGACTTGACAGCCACTTGTCTGAAATGGTATAAGTTCTCCTACTTGAGCAGGGGCTCGACTAGAATGCCTCCACGGTCCCTTCCAGCTCTATTCTAGTCTATTTAATAAAAGAGAAGGCATCCATGATGCTGTCATGAAGGAGGGAAGTAACCTTGAGACATTTTGTTAATCTGTGGCAGGAGGAGCTGATGCTCCCTTTTCCCTGCTCAAATCAAAACACATTGTATCCTAAACTAATTGAATTGCTTCCTGTCTATTGAAGTTTCTAAAAAGACAAGCAATCACAGATTGTATAAGTAATATTTTTCTATTCTTTTATGGCATCAATATCATCAAACAAGAGATAGTCATCTCAATCTACCAAAAACAAACCCTTTCCCTGATTGACACATGTTGTTGAGTTGATGGTTTTGTTTTATCTGATAATCTTCAGTGATCGGATGGTGGCAGCAGCTAGGAGCAGTTGACAGATGACAGAAACTTTCTTTTAGAAAGGATTTGGCAGCTGTCTTTCAAAACCTTGGCAACCTTCTCTTTAGATTATTATAATATAATGTTAACCTTTCCCAACACTCTGAAAGTTGCACTTTGTCCTTTTTATTTTACCATTGGTTAATGTTCCAAATAGCACCATATGGTCCACACTTTTGCGGTGGTTTTTGCTTCTACTAGATTATAATTTTATCACCATAATTTCTGTTGCCTTGCTGCAGCTTATTTATACTATGTCATTTGTCCTGTTAGCTTCTTGGGTTTTAATGCTATTGTTTTAAAGGCTGGGAAAGAATATCATGTTATTTTGGTAGCAGATTTTAATAAATTCATTTGGCTAAGAGATAGAGATGTCCTACAGATGGTCAATCAGCTTACATTTCTAAGGGTGTACCTAAACCTGAATCTCCCAGTTTTTAATCCATGGAATTTGTACCTCATTAAGAGAAGAGAGAAATTTATCATTTTCATGCTTAATGACAGCATGACTAAGATAGCAATTCAGTAAGACATCCCACTTACACAAGATCCAGAGCTGAATTCCACATATTATGGAGCTATAACTTCATAGAATGGCAACAATATCCCAACCACACCATTTTTAATCCCTGGCATTCTCTCCAGTGGGAAAAAATCTTGCCTAAAACTATAGGAAACTATTGTCAGTCAGTGGTTGGGTTCATACATCATGCTAACCGTAATGTGTTTGTTTTGTCTTCCCTTTGCACAATGTAGAAACTACACCAAGTACATATTATTTTATTGATTTCCAGGATTAATATCCTCTACTAACAGATTCTAGGATTAAAACACTGAATACAAAAAAAGAAAACATAAATCAGAGTAGATAAAGAAGGATGCCCATGAACAATATCAATATCTTATTCAAAATTTAACTTGTTTATTAAAAATAAGCAGCATTAGAGCCCACTATACCTCATGGGAGGGGAGAGGATATTCCAAAGGTTGGGGGCCACTATTGGAAGGTGAATTATGAAGTCTCACTCTGTCTCTTTTCCCATTCCTTATAAAAATCTTCCCAGAAGGCTTGAGAGATCTTGTTCCTACAAAAAAGGGGGGAACCCAAATCCATACAGGAACAATTGTTGGAATCCTCCTTGCAGTTCTTCTGATTGCTGCTATTATTCTTGCTGGCATCTACATCACCAGTAATCCTACTTCAAGTGCTGCTTTATTCTTCATTGAGGTGAGCTTAAGAGAAGTCTCTTGTTTATATTTTGTCTTGTTAAAAAGCTGGACTTATTAAGATTTAGAAATAGAGCAGAAAAAAAAAAGAAAGACTATACATCCCACAGGATATATGCAATTTATTAGCACCCCTTTGGTGTTCCCCAGAATCCCTCCAGAGCAGACAGGATAAAAACAAACAAACTTCTTTTTTTTCATTTTGCAAAGTTGGGGAATTTTAAAGAGAAAATGAACGTCCAGTATTTTAATGGCTTTATCACTTAAACTGACCCCCAAGAGGCTCTGCTTTGTATCCTGTCCCATCACCTTCAATTTGCTGCAAAAGCTCACTATGACTTCAGACCAATAACAATTTTGTAGTTTGGATCACTGGGTGCAGGTATATAGTGTGCAAATTTAACAGCACAATGTTACTTTAAATTAAAACAGGACTTGTTTTAACCCTTCCTCCTACCTCTCTTAGAGGTGTATGGAGAAATATTAAAGAAGGGGGGAAAAGTGACAGCACTTCGTGATTCTTTCAAAAGTTAAAGAAGGAAAAAAGAATCTGGAAAAAAAGAATTTGGAAGGAAGCAAAACTAGAAAATAAAATGGCCAAGGGTATGTCAGTAACTGCAGAAATCATTTTATCCAAGCTCTCCTCAAACCTAATAGCACCCCTGATTAAGATTTTGTGTTGTACAATGGCTGGAAGAGGATTCAGTGAGAATGCAGGGAAAGTGCAGCTTCAGTTGAAGTTTTCTAGGGGATGTTAGCCTGGTCTACCATATAGTGTTGTAATAAAGACAACTTTGGAGAAGAAATACTTTCTAACATTTTTTAGAAGAGTAGTACAGCATTTGACATTGGAGTGTGAGAACTGCAACTAGTAAGTCATGATAAAAAGCAGGCAGATAGAAATTTGTGTGTATGTGTGTGTGTGTGTGTGTGTGTATTCCTGAATTTTTTTAAAAAAAAAAATCTTCCTCTTCTCAAACTGAAACTTTTCTTTTTTTTGCACTACAGCGAAGACCACATCAGTGGCCTACCATGAAGTTCAGAAACCGCTCACCTTACACTGAAGTAGAACCATCTGGTCAGGAAAAGGACAGTTTTGTTGAAGCAGATCAGTGCTAAAGAGTATGCCTCCTTTATTGCTCCTATACCTTTAAAACATCAAGTATCTCCCATCTATTGTTTATTTTGCGATGGACACAATTGAAGAGGGGAGGGGAAAACAAACAAAATTAACAAGAAACCCCAAGAGAGGATTGGAATGGGATGAGTGGCAAATTAATTTCATAATAAATAAATAAATAAAATCAAAATAAATCGAGCCTAAAAAGATTAAAAAGAGAGGCACATGTAACATATGGTTGCTGGGTAAATCATCAAGAAAAATTATGACTTCACTGTAGAATAGTACCTGACTATCTTGCATGAATATTGTCAGTTATAGCCATCCATAGATATTATGGACTATAAGAAACATCTTCTGCCCAACCCAGCTTTTGTAGGCACTCTAACCATAAATGTACAGTGCCAAAATACAGATTAGGAAAGAGGGACATATAACCTTCTAGCTAAGATTGAAGATTTCCTGCTAAATTTTCCTTGAAAGATACGAAGGGTTTTTTAATTAGAGAATCTTGGAACAGCTGGTCTGACTTGACTCTCAACACCTTAGCCATGTCACCGAAGTTATTGAATGAAGCATCTCAGTTTGGGCTGGGCCTAAAATGCAGCCTTCATATTTATATGCAATGGTGGCATACAATTAGCCAAAAAGGGAGAGGGGGGGGTAATTAGAGGTGTTTCCATTGACAGTAATTTTTTCTACCTGATATTGAATTAGTCAGAAGATAAAATACGTATCAACTCTGTACCAAGCAAACTCATTTGACTTCTGCTATGAATTGTTCTATGATTTAGTTATTTTTTGTATTCTTTTTAAAGACTTAAATGACAAATATGATCATTGATTTCTGTAGCAGAACAAAGTGGGGAATTTTCTCAACAGGATGCAGTCCTGTTTATTTTCATGAAGGAAATACTAAATTTGCAACATTTATGACTAGAACTTTTTTTTATAACTCCATTTCTTCATTTTTCTTCTAATTCAATTTCTGCTTCAATTAACAATGATACTGACTATAGGAATCAGGACTGCAAGTATGATAATTTCCAGACTCATTTTAAATTGTGGATATTTAATTTTTTAAAAGTTTTGGAAATTGTATGATTCTTTAGATTTTGCTCAATTTCCCTATTTTCCCTTATATAAGAGAGTAACTGCATCTCTAAAAGGATAGAATAGATCTTAGTGCTACAACTATTTCTCACTTAAACAATTTGTTGTTCCTTGAACAACGCATTCCAAAAAAACCACTACATCCAGATGGGAATCAGACTCAGAACGTGAATCAGATTGACTCAGCTGCACAAAAGGCACTGATGCTGGTGGCTTAGCACTGGACAAAGTAGTGGTTTCTTGTAACATTCGCAAGGTTTTGCCAAGAAGAGAATTCCCATTTACAAGTAATGAATGTTATTATACAAACAGCACTATTTTGCTTTGCACTGGTTTTTTTATACAGTCATTGGAAAGAATGTCCTGTCAGAACTGGGGGTAAAAGACTTACCACAGTATAGTAGAATAAGCAGGCCAGTAGCTTGTCAACACCATAAACACATGAATTTCCCAAATTTCATTCTTTTTATACAGATGCAAAAAAAATCTTGCTTTGTTTTCCTTGCTGACTGGCAAAGGAACACTGATTGGTTGAGAATTTTTAATCCATCTATTGGTACCGAAAGGATTCTGATTTTTCTTCCTGATTTGCAAAAAGTAGTCTATACTATTTTGGTATTTTTCAATAGTCAGATCTGTTCTACTAAATACTGTTTTGTTTTAATTTTAAAATAAGATTTAGGAGATAGAACATACATTGGCTATCAATCCAGGTCTTTTCTCCATCTACCCCATGTCCGCTTCTGGTGCTCCCACCAACATATTAATACAGATTGCAACCAGAATTAGGGAGCATCAATATGAAACACTGTCTAGCTACATTACAGTAATACACGTTAGTAGACCACAACCCACATCTCCTCCCTTTATTGCAGGTAATATTTTATATGGGTATAACTTTCATCACATTTTGAATTTCCCATTTATGCTTTGTCTATTGGCTGCTATGTGCAGGGGAAAGAGAAAAGGCAGGGACAGCAATTAAGCATATAATGGACAGCTAATCTATTACATGTTAATTTAATTAAAGACTACCAGAAACGTAGCCAGAGTTATTTGTTGTCATGTCATATCTTAAAGATAACTTAATATACTTTATCCCCAGATATATTAAATATTCTATACTATCCATATTGCATGGAGAGATTGCATATACTGAAAATAAATGTGTACAATAGTCATGCTCCCTTAGCTGAAAGTGGGACAAGAGAGGAAATCATCTCTAATTTTACATGCAGGAATGCATCCTACATCAGCCCTTTTGCACACTGCTCCATCTCTGAGGTTAGACTGAGCGTTTCTGAGTCTAGGACAGTAATGGTGAACCTTTCAGAGATCGAGTGCCCAAAAACTGCCCCGCTCCCCGAGCCCCGTCCTGCCCTGCCCATTTCACCCCTGCCCCCACCCTGCCTCACCTGCCGGGCCACCCACCACCTACACGGCATGCCGCAGATCACTCAGGTGGCCCTGCAGCACCATGATGGACACACCCTCCAGCCGCACCCCACAGCATCATCTGCACGCGACAAGGCGTGAGGGCGGAGTCTTGTCCCTGCTGCCCAGCTGCCATGTGCTTGGCTGTGTTGCTCCATGCCCGGGGGATGACTCTCCGGGGGGGCTGCTGATGAGGGGGCCGTGGGGGGAGGCAGGGCTGGGGCAACAGCATGTGTGCCCACAGAGAAGGCTCTGAGTGCCACCTCTGGCATGTGTGCCATAGGTTTTCCACCACTGGTCTAGGAGTTTCCTCAAGAGCAAAGTTTAGTTGTAAATGAATGCACAGCGATGCAAAATTGAAGGAAGTGCTACAATGAAATTTGAGCTATTACCAGTATTTTATATATCTTTGCTGAACATTTTTTAAAAGAAAAGATCAAAGAAAAGTAGCAACAATAAAAACGAAATCACATCTTGGAAAATATTTATAAAGAATTCATTATTAAATATATTATTTAATCACAACTGTTATAGTGCTTCTGCAAAGAGTTATAATAGGAAGAGGTAACACAGGCCTAAATAATTGTTTTTGAAAAGATGTTTCACAATCAAAAGAATGCAATTAAAAACAAAAAAACCATTTTTCTTTAACCCTGTTCCATACTGGTTTACATGGATATTTTATAAACTTATTTGAGGGGCAACATTCTGTTTCCAAGTTCAAAGTGTAAAATCAAGTACATTGTTCCTTTGCTAAAACATCACACTAACTCAAGTTTGTTTAACCATAGTTCATTAAATAAATCACAAAATGCTAAGCCATAAAGCACAATCTACAAATTATAGTTTGGATTCATAGTGTGAAAAATCAAAAATACGCATTTTGATTTAGTGCAACATGTGAATATATGCATCATAATATTGACCAAAGAGTCTGTACTTACTCTGGGATTGGTTTCACACATCATGGTAAAAGTTGGGTTTTGCTTAGCATGTTGTGTGAACTCAGCCATAGCAATCTACAGATCATAATATTTAAGTTTAGTATGTTATACAAACCCAGCCAGTTGCAGTTTAGTTACATCATGGGTTAGCATAATGTGTAAGGCCAGACCATGCATCTCTTGGAACATATAGGTAGCTAAAGATCGTATTCATGGAAATTGCCAAATTTAGATGTGTTGAGCATATCTGATCTATAAGGAATCCTTGCAGCAATTTCCTATGTATATAAAAATCCTTTCAGTTATTATTTATCTCATAGAAATGCAAGACCTAATTTCTTTCTACATACTTGAATTTATAATATATTTCTGTTTGGGGAAAGATGAAGTAGGAAAGCTTCAGGCAAAGCATTTAGTATGGATTGTTTGCATGGAATGCAGTGTTAATACTAATACATAATATTAAGTACTAAAATACTTTTCAGATTGCTTCAAGTTTCAGAATAAAAAACCAAAATTGTGACTGATCTTCCGATGGATTTGTGTTAAATCTATAAGATTGCATAGGCATTCTGTCATTAATTATATCTGTGAATAACTTCCAATGCAATTAAACTAAAACCTACATTTCAGCCACTGTTTTGCATACTTTTTATTATCAGAGAAACCATACTTTGATTTATCTGTATTTTCATAAAGGAGATTTCTTTCGGGCCAATAGTGAACTGTCACCTAGATTTCCTTATGAAAGTTCTTGCTTGGGAAAAAGGAACTTATTTTTGTTAAATGGAAGAAAAGGAAGGTTTTAGAGTAACAAGCATACAATAGGGATTCATCTAGAAAACAATAGCATAGTGTATGCTATCTTGCTTAGCATGCTCCAAGCTATGTAGAAATTCTTTTAGGAGAAAAATGACTTAAAAGGGTCAATACAAGGCCAATTATCCCAAGTTACTATCCTCACAATCTGTCACACCCAGTTTTCAGCAAGTATTCCCTGGAGTTTTACCTGAAGGAGTTCACTAAAGACTTGTCTGCCCATTTTTGTGATACACGGTACACCAATAATAAATGCACATATTAAAGCATACCAATAATGACAAACATACAGATGAATACCCAATTTTTTACACCACCACCCCTCATTCCACTAACCTAATATAGTATGAGTCTAGTATGAATTCAGTCAGTTATGTAGCTTTTCAATGGTAGCAGTTTCATAGCTGAAATGTTGGTTGGTCTTGACATATGTTATAATTAGCAGGAAGAGGTGCAGTAGAAAGTCAGACAGGCCGTTTAGTTGGTGAAGGCTAACTAACCAACCAATTTCTCCTGATAGGTTCCTGTTGAAGTCTATTGAATCAAAAGACAATCATTATCCATTATTGTTGGGTAACCAGGGTTCTATTAACACTCAACATACATCTATTCCTAGTGATGTCATTAGGTATTTTTCAGGTATGTTTCTGTAGCTCTCAGTTTTTTGCACCAGCAAGAAAGCAGGTACTTGTTTCCACACATGAGGTGTACAAACCTTTTGGGGGGGAAGGTTCTCTTGTTAGGCATAGACTGGGTGAGGGTCAACAAATCATTGACTGAAGTTCAGGATGGCTTGATCTCAAATTGACTTCTATTCCTTTGATGACTCATGGTCAGCAGGATACAGATTAGCTGTTAAAGAGACTTTACAAATGAAAAGTGCTGTAACTGGTTTGGATTGTTTACAACCTCAGAATCTAATAGGTCACCTGACTTGGGTCTTGGTCTTTTGCCACAGGGTCCAGGAAAATTTCATGTGGAGGGAATGTGTACCATAGCTTATTAAAACCTAAAGTGTTTGTCTTCCTTTTCCATAATTCCACATATAATACCTGTAAATTGTTCAATTCCAACGTCTAAACAGATTATCAAAGGGTGAATTTACAATGCGAGAGATGGAAACCGGTCTCCATAAATTGTTTTAATAGTTTAAATTGTTTGATTAAAACTAGCCACAGTTGGTTTTTGAGCCTTATTAGGCTTAATTACATTATGCAATGTAAGATGATGCTATTAGGTTGGGTTTTTTTTTTCTACCCTAGAGAATATATAACAGGAGAATTAGCAAACGGTTGCAACGCATAGGAACTCCTACTTGAAGGTCCCTGTTCCAGAAAGTAGAATCTGGTTGTGATACGATTATTTGTATTCATATATACCTTAGGGCAAGAGTTGGGTCATCCATTACTTGAGCTGCAAAGGTATTTAATACTTTCCAATTTTTTAATAATTTCCCAGAATGAGAACTTACAGAGCTGGGAGAGTACATGCAAGTGTATTTATTTCCTGAATTGCTTCCAGAGCCAAAAGTTGAGAAAAAAAAAAAATCTTGTTTTAGATAGACCTGTCCATAGAGCTCTATTATATATTGCCAAACTTTTATTTTTCCTTCCTCCTTTCACTCATATTAGATGCCATATTAAGAGGCAAAGATGAAATGTGCTCTCATGGCCCATTTAGAAATTTTAAAGTAAAACACACACAGGTAAAAGGTAAAAAGTCACATGCCTTTAATTTTTTTTCTTATTAGCCTGCTTTGGGACAACAATGTTAGAATGTTTTTGTGTAAGATAGATGATGGAATTATTGATAGAACCTGAAATACAAATTTGTCTTGGAGGCAACACAGCAGGTTAAGCAATAGTGCATAGGAAAGCAAAACTGTGACTTCTTCCTAGGGGTGAGACGACAACTTGCCCAGAATCATCCAGTTGGCTTCTATGGCTAAGGTAGGATTTGAACTCATAATCTCCAGCTTTCTAGCCTGGTTCCTTAATGAGTAGACCAAACTGACTCTCTTCACAAATTTCTTTTCCTTCCTTTCTTTGGCTTCAACAGAAAACTTCAGTACACACATCATTTAGCAACAACTAGTCACCTCTTTTAAAGTTCCAAATGCATTATTAAGGATAAACCCACACTAAAATGCAAAATCACTCAAATTTTAACAAACAACATATGCTATTTTCAAATCTTCTGAGTCACATTTCTTAATAACTGACTATATAAAGTTTCTCGTTTCCTTCTTACATCCTATCTAGACCACTCTTAATTTCTTCTAAAAATTGCATTCCTTTCTCAAACCTTCATTTCTACATACAATTACAAATCATTAACTTTCTTTACAATTATAAAAATCAAAGTTTTATGCATGGCAGCTGTGCATGTCATTCATTAATTACAATACACGTTTTTACAATTACAGAGGAAGAATAGAGCTACCATTCACTTTAATATTCTTTATAGTGGCTGTTTTTAACTGCTTCTCTTTTCTGTAATGTGAGGACTACCTCCAGCTTTTCCTCAAACTTTACCAAAACTCAGGAAAGGTATATATAAATTACCCACAAACTTTGGTAGATTTGGGTACAATTGGGGAGTTTCTTTTAAGTTCTAGTGAAAGCAACAGCATAATGTGCTCAAACACTATAAAGTTAGAAACTGGGAAATGAGCCTCTGTTGAGTTGTGAGTTTGCAATTTCTTCTTTTAATTAGCACATGTGATAACAAACAGCAAATAGTAAGTTAACCAGGAATTAATTGAAGAAACCAGCTAGATAAAGTCAGGATTGATTAAATTATCCCCAGGATAGGCTTCCCCTTCTGAAGGTTTCCTTTTAACATTGACCAATTATAGACAGAACGACTTATTTGACAAAACACATAAGATTTTCAAAACAGAACTCTTGTCCCTTTTCAGAACAACAGAATTGGAAGGGACCTTGGAAGTCTTCTAGCCAAACCCCTGCTCAAGCAGGAGACCCTTCATCATTTCAGATAAATGGTCTAATCTCTTCTTTAAAAGCTTCAATGATGTTGCACCCACAACTTTTGAAGGCAAGCTGTTCCACTGATTAATTGTTCTCATCAGAAAATTTGTCCTTCATTCTAGGTTGTTTCTCTCCTTCATTAGTTTCCATCCATTCCTTGATTCTGTCCTTCTGTTAATGCAGCCTAGCATTGTGTTGGGATTATTGTTGTTTTTTTGGCAGCTGCAGCACATTGTTTGCTCATATTTAACTGATTGTCCACTAGGACTCCAAGATCCCTCTCACAGTTACTACTGTTGAACCAGATACCCCCTATTCTATTCTATGCTGTGCATTTATTTTTTTCTTTCCTAAATGTAAAACTTTTTCACCATTGAATTTCATTTTGTTAG